GCACTGACGTCCCATCCAAAATGCTTCTCTGCTCGGGATGGGATTCCTTTTCCAGGACCCATAATCCATTCAATAGCCTCTTTTTTCATACTTAATGGAATACTTTTCCGTTTCATAACTGTCGAATTTAGAGATGGTGGTTCTGATTGCGGGATGGATACATGCTCAAGTTGAGCTACTTCAGAACAATCAATCATCTTTTCCAAACCGGTAGACTCACTAACAGCTGCTTTAGCGTCTAACAGAACATCGGTTAAATAACCCAAGTTAGTGTACTTTTTGATAACGCTTTGGTCAAAAATAACATTTTAACATACCGGTACGTGGGCGGGACCCGTGGCCGTGAGCTTGAATCAGCGCATGTTGTCCTTGCAGCTGTATCCATAGGCTTTGCATAGTTGGATCCATCATCCCGTTGGACCCAGTAGTGGCATCTACGAGAGCCAGCATCTCTTCTGCCGACGGCACCTTCGTCATCACGTAGCGATCTGAGAACCAATTAGTAGTCCGCCCTCTAATACGTGCAATTGGTCAACAACGGTTAAAAACCGTTGCGTGTACCACGTATGTTTCGTACTTTTCAGGCAAACAGCAACCGGATAGGTGCGGAATCCACAGTCCTCGAATCAGTGGTTTCTAAATAGTCATATAACGTGGCGAAACTAGCAGTTGTTCAGACGGTACTCGAAGAGCGATCCACAAACCATACCGGTTTGTGGATTGCTATTCGAGTACGAACATACGTCCAGTAGTAGCTATATCGGCCTCACACACAGATAAATCTCGCGAGTCAAGTGGCTAGTTAAGGTGCACGCCGATGACCAAGACAGTCTCAAGATAGGCGGCATTTGTTTGGACGCCAGTCGTATTCACAGCTAAACCGATTAAATTTGCAAGCAGAAAGGTGTCGACCAGCGTACGAGTTTATAACAATCGGGCCTCAAGTCACAGAGATCACTGGGTGCGTGCAATGTCGCCATCGAACATTATGTATGGTTTTATGCGACTTTCGTCGTGCTGTGGGCAATTTGTAGTGTAAATCTGAAGAATCTCTGGCGAGTGAGGGGTCACGTAAGTCCGAAATCTTACCCGGCACATGGACATCGATACCATTTGCAGTCGCTTTACTTCCAGCTTCTATTGCTTGCTGAACATGTTTAATGGATCGTGCCGCCCTCCGTTGCTCAATTCGGCAGCTCAACGGGAATGCACAACCTCAGACGTAGCTTTTCCCGAGTGCAGCACTGGCTAGCTCATGTAAGATGTCGCTTGAATCCGGTCCTAAACACTTTTCTTCTACTGAACGAGACTGACGGCCGTCAGAGGAGGTTCTGTAATAATCCTCACTCTCCACCATCTCATTTTCTCTGCACGACGGACGACATTCTCCCTTTCAAGTGTCCCAAGCCAAGTCTCGTACGACTTGGCTTGGCATGCAACCAACGCGATGCACTTCATTGCAATCTTACACTCAATAGTCTATCCGGCACATTTACTGTCAACGTGCTCACCAATCGTCACTTGGAACATTTAATTGACTCTTACACTCTATACGCACTCGTGACTCCAGTCCGTCTTTAGCTCCGTCGCTTCCTCACATGGACTCACCTACTGGATCGATGCGCCCCCCTCTCACCAGCTACACATTCGGCGGTGTATCTGCAGTAGGCGCCGTGTTTTTCACGCACCCATTCGACTTGCTGAAAATCCACTTGCAAACGTCCAAGACAAAGAATGGGGGACTTGTGACCGCCACCCGCCGAGTTCTCCAGCAGCAGGGACTCAGTGGACTCTACCAGGGCATTTCGGGAGGGGTGATGAGGGAGGGCACGTACTCAACCACCCGATTTGCAGTGTACCACTATCTAAAAGATGACGCCGTGCGTCGGAATGATGGCAATCCTATCTCAACGGGACACAACGTTCTGCTTGGGATGATTGGCGGAGTGCTCGGGGGGATAATGGGTAACCCAGCCGACATTGTAAACATCCGCATGCAGGCCGATAGTCGATTGCCAGCCGAGAAGAGACGCAATTACAAACATGCAGTCGACGGATTGCTTCGAGTCGAAAAAGAGGAGGGACTTGCAGCGTTACTGCGCGGCGTTCGACCGAATATGATCCGAGCCATGTTGCTCACGACGGGGCAAATCGCAGCCTACGACTTGACGAAATCGACGCTTCTAACGAACCAGATGGTGCTGATGCAGGACGATCTTCAGACTCACGTTGTGGCTAGTGTGGTGGCTGGATTGGTGGCTACGACGGCTTGTGCCCCGGCTGATGTCGTCAAAACAAGGCTGATGAATACGCGCGCCCAGGAGTATACAAGTGCCACCGATTGCTTCCTGCAGGTCATCAAGCACGAAGGAGTGAGGGGACTGTACAAGGGGTGGCTGCCAGCATACATGCGACTCGGGCCCCAGACGCTACTGACGTTCGTGTTTTTAGAACAACTGCGCAAACATTTGTTGCACGCGTGAGCGTGTTGTCGTCAAGGAGTGACGAAAAGCGCTGTCAAGACTCACAATGGTTGTCCACTTTGACAGATACTTTGGCGTACTGCATCTCCCGATTGATGCTGACGTGGGAGCAGATAGACAGACAAGGTAGATTTATGCGCCTTATTCCATTTAACTTGCCTGGAGCTTGTTTAGTCTATCCAGGCATCTCTATCGGTGACCAATTCACCTTCGACATATCCCATTTTATTCATTTTTGTATTGTTGAATCGTATTCTGCAATGAGCGCGATTGCTTATACGCAACAACGAGAAAATGTGCAGACCAGACAGAATCAAGCTCGCAGTCAAATGTGGGCGAATGGTGCGATAGCAAGCGTACGTACTTTTCTGACTTCAAAGAGCTAATATTTATACTCAAATCGAGCGTTCACGTGCTCTTGCACGTCGCACAGCATTAGCAGGTGTTATCGCACTACTAGTTGGTCGAATGAACCATTTGGCAAATTCTCATTGACACCCGTTGTAACGGGGCACCCTGAAGCTTGTACTGATGACAGTACAAGCTACTTATTCTGATGACAGAATAAGGCAGTGCCTCGTGACTTCACGTACACTCGTACGTGCAGAGGAAGACGGTAAGAAGAAGCGAGTACTTGGTTAAAGTAAAAAGTAGAGCTGTATTTATCATAGTTAGTGTCTGTTAATAAACCACTATTTATCTTCATCTAACTATGTCTGAATACAAATGTGTAAATCAACTATCTGCTCACCACTCATTGCGTGCGTCTGTCGTGGCGCGTCTTCGTTGATTGATATAATGGCCTATATCAACCAATTAGGAACTACTCGTAAGTGCTGCAGAATATTTGTCCTTATGACAATATTCTGAGAATATAACTCTTATAGTTATATTCTATTAGCAATTTCTTATAAATTGTTATGTAACGATTCACCCCGTTACATCACCCCCCCCCTTTTCCATCGGTCACTTTAGTGACTGATTGACTAAATGGATGCTCGTCCCAAACCATTTGGGACAGGGTTTGCACTTGTTGGTCCGAGTCCACTTTCCAACAGTTCATCGCATGGTTAACAAGCCCATGCGGTGCGCGAGCAAGGCCGCCGAGAGCGCGTCCGCACGTCTCTGTGCGGACGCCGAAGCAGAAACCGCAGCAACTGATGTCTCATCGGTTGCTGGAGCGACTCAGCCTGTGTCACCTGGTGATGCAGGTGCTCGTCATGAAGACACTCGTGTCTTCACCGAGTTTGAGCTCGGTGTCTCATACTCTCCTGATACGGAAGACGGATCCGTATCGACTGCGATCGAAACCAAGTCACCTGCCAAGCGTGGCATGGATGATGCTATGCGTCGTAGCATCTTTGGATCATCTGACGAATCAGATGAACCATCGCCGAAGCGAAGGCGCTCGAGGTCGCGAGACTCGGGCGCTAACAGTGGTGTCGGTTCTCCTATTGACACCACTTCGCAACGAGGTGCCAGTACTTCTGTCGGCACGTCGCAAGAAGAGCGGGACCGCAGTGTGTTGCGTCTCGCTCCCGAGAAGAAGGCATGGATGCCTCCTAAGTCCGTCATGGAGCACTTGTCGGCGACGACGAGTGATCGTTATCGAACACGATTGTTCGATTCATCAAGGATCCATCACCTTGACCCCAGTGCGAAAAACTACCGCGCTGAGAATGATTTCTTCATCGATGCTTTCTTCAAACATCGATGGTACAGTGGGAATCACAAACGTGATGGTCCCTCACTGCTTCAAGCGTGGAACGCTTACATCCATAACCTTGAGGATGTAGGTCGTGACGCTTGGAACGACAAACTTATCAAAGCTCGTGATAAGTTTGAAAAGCGAACCCCGACAGGTGCACGCTACAAGCTACATCGTCTGTCTAGGGAGAGTGGGTTACCCTGTCTCTCCTGGGGAGACTCGTGCCCATGTTGTGCAACAACTCTGCGCACGCACCTAAGGAGGCTTACATCCTTAATAGCCCGTGGTGGCGCATACGTGTCTCTACTGAGATGTACGAAGGGATTGACAACCTGAAATCCCTTTACGACCGTGCCGGGAAGACTTTCTCCGGCGGTCCTTCTGCGGCACAGGATGTGCCGCGTCGTACTGCTCGACCAGACCCGGTACGTCAACCATCAGTTGGGAGCGGGGCTCCCAAGTATCCCAGGACGGGGGATAGCCGCGCCACCGGACGAGGTAACTCGTCCGACGTCCGTTCACGTCGCGGTGGTTCAACAGCTGCTCAACTAGATAGCGCTGGCTACCGCGAGAGTCCTCTAATGGAGGTGGAGGAGGAAGGAGGACGCTCTCCACACTATCATGGGGAAGCGTGTGTTCCCGAGAGCTTCTTTGATCGCGTAGCGCAAGCGTTACGCGGCGATCTCGAACATGAGCGGGACAGGCGTCTCCAACTGGCGGACACTGTCTCGAAGCATCGAGCTGAGTTTGCCTTTGCTCAGCTTGAGAACGAGAGAGCTCTGACGTCTCTGCGTGACGAGCTAAGGGTAGCTCGTGGGGATATTGACCGGTCTCGGGCTGAGATAACTGCTCTTCAGACCCTTGACGATGGCCACCATCGGGAGCACAAGGCTCTCTGTGAGATGCTTGAGTGCAAGGGCGTTCTTCATCGGAAGAAGCAGCGTACTGATGGTACGGCTTAAGCCGACCAAAGTAAAATGTGGGATGCGTTCGCATCTTACGTGGTAACTCGATCGTGTATGCATTGCCTAGGCGATGCAATACACGAAATGGGCCAATGTACTTGGGTAGAAGTTTCCAACTACCCAAGTTAGTCACTACGTGCTTTGGTAGACTAACCGTAGACAGTAGGACTAAGTCACCTTGATTAAATAAAAGAGTGTTTGCCCTTTCATTCTTGTCTGCGTTTTGCTTTTGCTTATCCACCGCTTCGGCGATGGAGTCTTGCACAAAACGGACTACCGTTTCACGAACCAGTATGAATTCATCTGATGACTCGTTAGCTTCAGTGCGCTGTGAGTGCACTGCAGCGACAACAATCTTTTCTTCAGTGAGGGCTTCCACACGCTCACTGGCATCATCTTCTTCGATATCGATGTTATCGATATCGGCATCAAACGCAATGACCTCTTTGTCAGAGCGTGATGAGCGTGAACCAAATCGGTTTTTGCTCGCGCGAGTCCCCCCCCTTAAACCAGAGTCACACTCTAGTAAGGTGGGTACACGCGGATGGCGCAAGCCATTCACGTAAAACGGTGTATTTGTCGTGGACGCATGCGCCGAGTTGTTAATGGCAAACTCTACCATTGGCAAGAACTCACTCCAACTCGTAAAGGAGTGTACGTATCCTCGAAGTATCTCTTCGTGGACACGATTGGCTCGTTCCGTCTGACCATCTGACTCTGGATGATCAGATGTTGACATCTTCAAGCGCGTTCCGAGTGATTTGAACACGGAACACCAGAAATCAACAGTGAAGCGTGGATCTCTGTCTGATACGAGTTCACGGGGCAACCCATGAAGTCGGAAGATGGTGTCGATAAAGGCACAATCACAGCCACTTGCTGTGATTGACTCTGGTACAGCCACAAGGTATGCCATTTTGCTGAATCTGTCAACAAATACGAGAATACCCGTATTCCCGCGTACGTCTTCGGGTAACCCGAAGACGAATTCCATTGAAATGGATTCCCAGCACTCTGCCGGAACTGGTAGATGCTGTAAAGGTTCACGCAGTGAAGGACTTGACTTCACTCGTCGACAGACTTCGCATGCGCGAACATACTTTCGCACAAACTGATACTGGCGGGGCCAGTAAAAGTCTCGACTCACCGTGAGATATGTTTTCTCACGGCCACGATGTCCTCCTATAGGAGCATCGTGATACTCGAACATGATCCGCAAACGCAGATCAGTATCATCTAGAATGACAACACGTGGAGTGTCACCAGTACCGGCAGTAAACCGTTACGAGTAGTGTATCGATCTGATGCAGATCGATACGCAGACGATAATCGTTTCAACGATTGATCGTGAGAGATGTGTCAACAACTTCACAATCTCACCATCTTGGGCATACGCCCTCCTCACATCATCATGTAACGATGAAGATGGTACTGAGGACGTCATAACCGCAACAGTGGCTGTCTCACTGTTGGGTTTTACTACTGGTTCAAAGTCGGGACGACGTGAGAGTGCATCAGCGAATACATTAAGTCGTCCTGGTTTGTACTCTACCGTAAAGTTGTATTCTGCAAAGAATGACAACCACCGCGCCATTCGTTGTGAAAGGTGCGGGTGTTTACTGCCGTGCGTAATGACGCATGGTCAGTGTAAACAATGAAGGGTCTATCTCCTAATAGATAGACTCTGAACTTCGCGAGTGCATACTTCATGGCACGGAGTTCCTTGTCATGCACTGGATAGTTACGCTCAGCTCGTTGCAGCTGACTCGACTGATAGCAGACGACGCGTTCAACGCCTTCAAGATCGTACTGCATTAATGCACAGCCGATTGCGAAATCGCTGGCATCACAGACCACATGAAATGACCTGTCCTGATCGGCTATTGCTAGGACTGGGGATTGTATCAAGCTCTGCTTGATACCATCAAAGGAGCGCTGACATTCAGCGTTCCATTACCACCTCTCGTTCTTTTTCAACAAACGAGAGAGGTGCACAGTCATCTCGGCGTAATTGCGTGAGTACTTGTGCAAATACGCCGCTAGCCCAAGGAATTTTCGAAGACCTTTGACATCAACCGGCACAGGCCAGTCGGTGATCGCCTTGATCTTTTCGGGATCAGGACGTACCCCGTTCTTACCAACGATGCACCCAAGAAGTGGTATTTCGCTTGCTGCAAATATACACTTCTCGAGGTTGGCATACAATTGATGATTTCGCATGATTGTAAGAACCTGTTGGACGTGGTATCTGTGAACCTCAACGTCCGACTTTCCATCCATAACCCAAATATGGATGAATATGTCATCGAAATAACTCGGCGCGAATTCTCGTACTGGCCTCAACAGATGTGATACACATCTGTTGAACGTGGCAGGGGCATTACTAAGCCCTTGTGGCATTACTAGCCATTCCCAGAGCATGCCGCTAGGCGTGCTAACTGAGGTATATGGTATATCCCGTTTTCGCATAAGGATTTGATAGAAGCCGTTCATCAAAACCATGGACGAAAAGATGGTACTCTTTGACATGCCATCAATGATTACGTCCTTCCTTGGTATCGGCGTCTGAGCCGGTACCGTTGCAGCATTCAACTAGTTAAATGAATGCACTATCCGCCACCCTCCTGTTGCTTTTCGCACACAGAAGGTCGGAGAGCTATGTGGGGAAGTTGATTTCCTCACATGGCCCGCAGCTAAACGATCGGCAAAGAGCTTGTCGATCGCAAGTACTTGTTCACGAGGCAGTGGCCACTGCTTCATGACACAGTACTTCGAGCCTGGTTTAAGCTCGACCTCGTGCCGAGTACCTTTATCCTTCGGTAACTCGCACTGAACAGTTTCAGGGAATACACCCTTGAATTCAACCAAATCTTCATAGAGAGGATTTGTCTTGAGCGATTCCCACGATTGGGAGTCATACCGCTCAACTCGTGTCTTTTCATCAAGGACGCTCTCGTCCATTGATGAACTACTGAGAACTCTCTCGTTCTCAGTAAAAACTGTTGCTGACCTTATGTCGGCTACGCACTCGTCGTCAGCGACGAGTACGCAGATCTGCTTGACTTTGCCACTACGCAGATCACGCAAGAACCTTTTATGCTCGAGTGTTGGCAACTGAGTGATCTCCGAAGTCAACTTCGTAGGCGCAATCAGATCAAGTGTATAAGCGCCTACACTTGACCCGTCATTGACTAGGACATCCTTAACTTCCTCTAGCTGGGGTTGCGCAACCACAGCGAGATCCTCTACAAAAGAGCTCTCCAGTTGATCTAGGATTATCGTTTCGCTTAACCTGAGCGATCGATTGTTTCTCTTCTAGATGTTCCCCGCTAGGGATACATCTTTGTCCCGGTCCACTCGACTTATTCGAGTGGTGGACCTTCGGCGCAGCCAGTGTTTCCTCACAGCCGCCGGAACTTTGCTCCGAAGTGTAACCATTTGTTACACTAAGGTTTTGTGCAGTCGTACTAACGACCGTACCACAAGTGAGGCCATCGCACTCACTCGTAGTACATCTACACGCTTGTGGACGCTCCAAAACGTTCATCAGATGGCCATCTGATGAACAAGCGGCAGGCATCGTTACTGTTAGATGTTGCCAGTTTACCCGTGGTTCGTACCTTCTGATCCACGGTATTCCAAGGATGACATCAAATTTGTCATCCAAATCCAATACAAAAAAGTCATCGTCATATTGGGTATCTTCTAGCGTATAGTGAATCTTCACTATACGCTCCATGACGGACGGATGCGCCTGTCGCAAGACGTACCGTCATCCTCGTAGGAGGTGTGTCACATTCACTGAACTTGAAATGACCATCTTCTAGCGATTGGCGTCGCTTAAAATTGTTGGACTCCCCACAATCGACTGGAGCTCGAAGGGACAACTTATTCGTCACTTCGAGTTTCAAGGTAATGAGTGAGATCTCATTACCTAGAGCAGCAACGCACAATGTTTGTGTGTTGGGAGCAACCTTCATCAAGAGGCCTACAAATTCTCTTGACGTTGCTGGACCAGTACGGTGCTCCGCACCTACTGATCCTGTCCGTTTTTTGACGGTCCATCCCGTTGTTGCGTCTTTGCACCAACAGCGGACCCTCGTCCCTGCCCCTTTCCCATGGGTGGACGGTCACTACGCCCATTGTTGGGAGACACCGGACGAGGGGCACTACACTCGTAAGCGTAGTGTCCTGTCTTTTGACATCGGTTGCATTTCTGCAACTTCTTGTAGTCTGTAGAGCGAGTCTTCTCGCTCTCTACATAACAGAGTTCCATCGGCTCTGGACCTCCGTTGTCATATCGTCTCGGTTGACGATATGATGTCGAGCTGGCACGAGCCTGTCTCAGACTGAAGTCTTCCTGTTCCGCAATGGAAATGGTTTGTTCTAGTGAATCTAGTTCAAGCCGGAACAGGTGAGTCTTGACGGGACCATCCGCAAGACCCTGCATGAACACCGAAACCACTGTGTGTTCATCCACCGGATTGGAACTTATACAACTCGTGAGATGTCGTATATGTTGCGCGTAAGCGTGCACATCACGCATACCTTGTTTGAGCTTCAAGAGTTCAGTTCGAGCTCTGAACTCAGCTCTAGGCGGTTCAAACATTTGTCTGAGCCGCGACTTGAAGACTTCTAACGACTCAAACGCATATGGGTCGTGCAACTTGAGCCCCAGTGCCCAAGTCTTGGCACGTCCTGCCAGATTTGACTGGGCAAATGCAACTTGCATATCCCCGTCGTCGATGCGACTCGCCCTTATGGCGTCATCCAATTCGACGAACCATCTCAAGAGGGAGTCTTCTTCGACCCCCCTATACTTTGAGATGTCAATCTTCAAGGTCTCGGGTCGACGCGAATGCATCGACCCACCAGCAGCAGCCTGCTGCTGTCTCAACAGTTCAAACTGCTGAGCACCCTGTTCTCTCAACAACTCTGCATGTTGAGAACCTTGTTGGTGAAGCAAGGCTACTATCTCTCGTTCAGCGTCAAGTTCATTCTGAATGAACTTGGTGATAGTAGCATGTGGGCATCTCTATTGAGAGCCCTCTAGCATGACGCTAACAGCACGGATGCCCAAGGTTGAACCCATTCGTTCAACCGCATCCCATTCGACATCGCTCAAATGGGAGTAGCCGTCACGCGTAGCGTGAAAGCTTTGGTCATCTTCATCATCCAAAATATTCAGGTTAGATGTGAACGTGGTCCTTGGACGGACTACGAAGTGCTACCAGGTGTGACGGGGCACCCTGAAGCTTGTACTGGTGACAGTACAAGTTACTTATTCTGATGGCAGAACAGGACGGTGCCTCGAAACTTCACGTACACTCGTACGTGCAGAGGAAGACGGTAAGGAGAAGAGAGTACTTGGTTAAAGTAAAAAGTAGAGCTGTATTTATCATAGTTAGTGTCTGTTAATTAATCACTATTTATCCTCATCTAACTGTGTCTGAATACAAATGTGCATATCAACTATCTGCTCACCACTCATTGCGTGCGTCTGTCGTGGCGCGTCTTCGTTGATTGATATAATGGCCTATATCAACCAATTAGGAACTACTCGTAAGTGCTGCAGAATATTTGTCCTTATGACAATATTCTGAGAATATAACTCTTATAGTTATATTCTATTAACAATTTCTTACAAATTGTTATGTAACGATTCACCCTGTTACACTAGTGCAACCGGGATGACGAGTTTACCATTGAAAGCGATACTATTACTAAAAAAGACGTGGTTAACTGGTTACAAGTAAAGTTCATCGATGCGCATTGTAAGACCCTGAACGGATTTGTATGGTGTAGCAATTTACCTAGCGCTGGAGCACCATTCCAAAATCACAACGTGTAGCAGATGTTAAAGCTAGAGCACAGTTCCGAATTTGTAGAGTATCATGTGAGGGTAAAAAAGGTTTGATTATTATTTGAATGTCGATTTGCTGCATAGGGGTTGTAGAGCATGTCGCTTTCCGAGGAGATACGAAACAACATCTACTCTAGGTCGTACCTGTAGTCGTGTTCATCTACTAATCGATCGTGTAATGTGGTGAGTCCGTCACATGATATTTGTGTGAGGTAAAAATCGGGAACTGTGAGATTCACTTTCTTTTATTATATTCACCCTCTTTTCTTCCATTCAGCGAGCATTTAAAACGGTCAATTATGATTGGTTAATATATGTGAAAATATATTTGTTCAGCATACGGTATAATACGGTACCATCCTGCTTAGACGAGAAGTTGCGTAAGTGCACACACCTCAAGAACGTACTTGGTATGACAGTCTTCCGCAAATTTCTCATCTCTGGCTTCTATGCAACGACATGTTCGATCGGTACAATCCAATCATTCTACACTCGCAGTATTCGTGACACAAAACTAGCCACCGCTTTAAGTCGACGTATTCAAAACTTGTTGAGAGTAGGTAGATGCCACAGCGGCTTTCAATTTGTGCGGAGGTTTGACAACGACACAAAGTATTAAAATGCAATATATGACTAAATTACGAGCGATAGCCACTCTCACGTAAGCGCGCATTTCTATCGTTTTAGACACTAAAATTTGTCGATAACTCGCATGGCACGGATAAAGGAAAACATATCGGAATTCGACCAAATCCTTATAGAAAGGATTTGTCTTCAAATACTCCCAAGATTGAGACGTGTACAGCTCAATCCGGGTCTTCTCATCGAGGACACTTTCGTTCATCGATGAGCTACTGAGAACTCGTTCGTTCTCAGTAAACACTTGTGCCGACTGAATATCGGCGACGTACGCATCCTTTCTGACGAGTACGCAGATCTGCTTGATCTTGTCACTACGCAGATCTCGCAAGAATCTTTTAGATTCTAGCGTTGGCAACTTGATTATTTCCGAAGCTAACTTTGGCAATGTAACCAGCCAAGTGTATAATCGCCTACACTTGATCCGTCATTCACCAAGACATTCGCTGTCTCGGTGCTTTCCTGGGAAAGCACATCCGCAGGTGGTTGGGGAAACACACTATTAACATAACTCTCTCGGGAGCTATCACTCTCAGGAACGCTGGAACTTTCTTCCAATACGTGTTCTGACTGTAAGTGCACTACCACAACAATGTCTTTTTCGATCGGCTCTCGTTTAGTCGATCGTGTTTGCTATACTATCGACTCTCTGTTAGAAGATCTCGCTTTAACGTGTTATTCATCATGAACAACACCATCTGTCTTCTTGGATGTACCCTGCTTGGTGTGCATCCATGTCCCAATCCACTCGATCTTTTCGAGTGGTGAGCCTTCGGCGAAGCCTGTGTCTCTACAAAGTTGCCGGAAGCTGGTTCCACAGTGCAGTGGCCTTCTATACTATAATCTTGTGAAGTCAATAACGACCTTACCACAAGTGAGGCCATCGCACCCACTCGTAGTACATTCACACACTTGTGGATGCTCCAAGACGTTCATCATATGGCCATCAGGTGAACAAACGGCAGGCATCTTAACGGATCAATGCTACCAGCTGATCCATGGCTAGTATTTTCTAAGCCATGGCAGACCTGAGAACGACATCACATTTGTCATCCAAATTCTGTACGATGGAGTCATCGTTGTAATGCCTTCCTTCTTGCATGTAGCAGATCCCCACTACACGTTAATTAACTGTTAAGGATGCCCCTGTTGCGAGGCACACCTTCATCCTCGTCGGAGGGATCTCTCACCCCCCCCCCGCTTAACATAGTTGAGTCTACTGTCTCCAGTGACTGGCGTCGAATAAAACTGTTTGACGCCCCACAGTCAACTAGGGCAAGAAGTGACATTCCACTTGTCACTTCGATCTTTAAAGTGATGAGGGACACCTCATCACATTAGGGGCAGTGACAAACAGCGACTGTGTGTTGGGAGCAATCTTCGTCAAGAGTCCTGCAAATTTTCTTGACGTTGCTGGATCAGCAGGTTCCTCCGCCCCTACTGACCCTGGCCGTTTTTTGGCGGTTCGACTTGTTGTCGTGGTTTAGCAACATGGTCGGACCCGCCCCTTAGACCTTTATTCGGCCAACGGCGGTCATCACGTCCTGTCTTTGGACGTGATGCGGTGCTTGGGACACTACACACGTAGTGTCCGATCTTCTGACAGCGATGGCACCTTGCCGATCGCTTGTGACTCAGAGAGCGAGAGTTCTCGCTCTCAATATCACAGAGGTCCATTGGTTCGGGACCTCCGGTCTCCTGTCGTCTCGTCAAACGATAGTTTGACAAGTTATCCTGATACTGCATCAGGCTAAAGTCTTCTTGTTCCGTATACGCTACCGCCTCTTCCAGCGTATGGAAGTCCTTTCGGAACATATAGGTATTCACCGGTCCATCTGCAAGACCGTATATGAACACGTTATTGAGCGTGTGCTCATCAACAGGGGTTTTCGTGATGCTACACGCAAGGTAGTGGAGATGTAATGCGTAAGCGTGCACATCACGCTTACATTGTTTGAGCCTCAGGAGTGCAGAGCGTGCTCTGAACTTGCCTCTTGGTGGCTCAAACATTTCTTTCAGCCGAGAATTCAGGGTCTCTAACGACTCAAACACATTGGGTCGCGAAGCTCGCCCAAGTCTTTGCTCGTCCTGTCAAATTTGACAGGGCGAAGGTGACTTGCATCTCGTCACCCTCGATGTGAAGGGATCTTATGGAGTCGTCTAACTCGACGAACCATATCAAAAGGGAATCTTCATCGGTTCCTATGTACCTTGAGATTTCTATCTTCAGGGTTTCGGGTCGACGCGTGTGCGTCGGCCCGCCCATTGACTTGTGAGAGTCTTGCTGTTGTAGCAATGCTATCTTCTGTCTTTTGACAGCAAGTTCCCCTTGTAGGAACTTGTGGATAGCGGCGTGTTGTTAGTCTCTGTATAAAGACGCCAACGTGCCACTGATGGCGGGATCACCCATGAACACACTATCTCCCATTCTGAGTCACTCATTTGGGAGTAGATTTCACGTGTGACGTGAAAGCTGTCGTCTTCTACGTCCAACATGTTCATGTTGAACGGACACTAAGTAGTCGTTGGACGGACTACGAAGTGCTACCAGGTGTAAGGGGGCACCTTTGTTCGGGGTGCAGCGAAACTTTACATACGCTAGTACGTGTAGAGGAAGCTAATCTACTCAACAGCTAGGCTGATTATAAGGTAAAAAAGAGAACCTATTTAATATAGTTAAGCTATCGATAAAACTTCAGTCTTTATTCAACTATATTAAACTACGTCGTCGTATGACGATAACCTGCTCATCACTCATTGCGCGCGTCTAGCAGCGACTGGTGGCAATCTATGGTTGATACGTCTTTTATCAACCAATCTTTGAGCAGCAAGTGAATACTATCCTAAGGGATAATATGCCTTCAATATTATCCATCTCGGGTAATATTGGCAGGGAAATGCCACGCTAGAATACTCCCTATTGACTCCGTGTGGTGTCAACCTCAGCGTGGTGAGCAGATGGGTTTATGTGGCACCTCTGCGTGGTGAGCAGAACTATTTATGTCAGCGCAAATACAAAATCGACTTCATCGTGAGTCCACAAGATTTAATTATTCTGCCAGCTCGAGTAACAATTATGTAGATATGCCCCACATTGCCACTGTAACGAAGAACCACATTTTATTGCACCGAATGGAGTCAATAGGGAGATTGTCTAGCGTGACAATCCCCTGCCAATATTACCCGAGATTGATTATATTGAAGGAATGTCATCCTTTTGGATAACATTCACGTGCTGCTCAAAGATTGGTTGACAAAAGACATATCAACCATAGATTACCACCTATCGCTGTTAGGCGCGCGTAAAGGGGGATGAGCAGGTTGTCGTCATACGACAGTGTAGATTGATGTAGTTAGATAAAGACTGAAGTTATATTGATAGCTCAACTGTATTAAATAGGTTCTCTTTTTACCTTTTGCGCGAACTAGCAGTTTGAGTAGATTATCTTCCTCTGCAAGTCCTAGTGTACGTGAAGTTTCGTGGCAACCAAGCAAAGGGTAACCCGTTATAATTTTCGCTGCAGCACGAAAGAAGCGTGGCTGAAGCACGACACTTGAATGCGGGTGTAAAAGTACCTTTTCTTATTATTTCACGCCACTACACACCATGCAAAAATCAGCAAGTATGTGTGCGCCTATTTCTATTTGCACATTACGCAAACTAACCTGTAACTCCTGCTCAAGGTTATAGCCGCTGAAGTGCTGCTCTTACCATGTATTAACACGACGCTGATGGCGCTAATACTGGTTCTCTCTTGTGAAGCAGCTTTATTACATAACGTACAATCGTGCCCTCTAGATTACCTTGTCAGTTTGTCAAGATGTTGCACAAAATATCTTGGCTGTCCCATGCTTATCTTTGGTGCAGATGAATGGAGCAGAGCCGCTTAAGCTTACTACCATCAGAAGCATTAAATCATTTAAAAACAATTTTAGCCTCCTAAAACTATTGGCCGCCTACCTTCTACCCGCACACTACCACAATACCTTACAAGAGAGGTTCCAGACGATGAGAAGGTGTACTCGAAATAGTCATCAACAGCGGAAAATCGGATAGGCCTAATTCCAAATCTCAGCGCAAAAAACATAATAGGCATAGTTGTAAATCTCAGCGCCGGTTCCATTACAAGCCTTGCTGATCCCTTTCGCCAAGGACAACAAAAAGCCAACCGTACGATCAGCAAAAGAACGTGTTATCGGCGAAGAATGAGCAGTCGGAATTCGAGATTGCATCTAAAAAAGAAAATTGTCGCATTTATTGTGGCTCATGAAACCACAACAAGCACAAGTGCCATAGCAAGGTTGCCCTTCACAGCCGCGGCAAAATTCATGTCATCATGTGCCTCCTTATGAGTGTGTCTGCACCGACCATATTACTCGAATATGTAGATGCCTACCCTCGTCTGATTCACAGTAATTCATACATCGGTTGGATCAGTGAACCGGTCTTGGACCCAACCACTGCTCGCGTGTGTCCCGACGATCGCTCAGGCGATCCACGGTCGTTTCCTTGTCGATCCTTTTATCGTACGGTTTTGCACTTCAGAGTTTTCTGATGTGAAGTATATGTACACGTACAAGCTGAACACTGCACTCAGTGCAGCAGCGAGTTAGCGATGACACAATCCTAAAAAGAGAGCAAAACGGTGTGTGGAAATGCATGCATCGTTGTTTTTCGTAGCGTAGTAGAAACAACAAGCATACGTACTTTAAAACCGTACAAAAAATACGAGTATTGTAAAATAAACCCCACTTTGTACTGAATCCGGACCACACCACAATATGTTGTACGACACATTTTGCTCCACCATCCATACCACTATACGACCGCAATCGCACAAACATATGCATGTGTCGTGCATATAAAAGCTGATTCTATCTGGAAAACCTCTTTGAGCACGTAACGGACTACAAAAGCTCTATGCCTTTGTTAAAGACTTGACTGATGTCATGATCCACTTGTAACTATCACATGTCAAATACATCTAGGTTTCTATATGCGTCTCGGAAATGGCAACAGCCACTTTCAATCGAGACAGATACAAAAATGAATGAAACAATGACCTACGTTTCACCGGACGAAATCGGATACTGAGAATTGTAATATATAGCTATATGTATTTTTGATCAAGCCCATCCTGGATCTGCGTTAGGCCCATTGTCAGTCAAATAAGAATGACTGATAAAATTCTTTACCATTTGCACGACAGTGTATTGCATACTGTTGTGCGAAAGCGGTCTTTCAGAGGCATAACGGCGCAATATTTGTCGTACAAAGCATATTGTGCTGTGTGATGGATGTGGTGCCTGGCTGTATCTAGTAAAATGTGAATACATTTATTAATACCCCTCTGTTGATATTACACCGCTGAACAGGTACGTTTCATGATGTTATTATAATGATTTATAAGATTAATCATCAGCGTTTCATGGTAGTTTTAGAGGATTTCCATGGAACAGCGTTATGTAAAAGCTCATGGTGGTGAACTAAGGACATAAAATATGATTACATCGGCTTTTGCCTCAAATTACTCTACACCCTCACATATGCGTATGTTTCCCTCCCCTTTTTCGTACTGTGGTCGAAATGACACAAACGCGTGTTGTGGAAACGCAATTCCTTACCTAATATACGGTAAAGTTGACTCTAGTATCAAAGCTTGATCTATTCGATGGGCGACGGTCATACCGCTTCTTGGTGGACAGTATGTATTAACGCGAGATAGACTAGGGGACATGACCTCATCTATCATGTATAAAGATATAAAGAGCGTATTTGATCGATCATCTGCCATAATGGCACCTAAGAAAAGAAACGAGTACCTATACTCGTGTTTGTTCAACCAAAAGTCGAGTGCCTCTACATTTGGACGGATAATTGACTTTTAGCAAATTTTGGGGTCATCATCTTCATTTCCTTGAATCAATCGAGCGGCCATGGACGAGATAGAAAGCAGTCGACGATAATGTTTGTATAAAGGGTATCATAGCAAGACGTGTACGTACGAATCACCTTCGTGCAAGCAATGATTTCTTGTCGTTCTTCGAAAGCATATATCTACTTTTGCACTCCAGAAAAGAGTCGAATAATGATGACATCGGACGTAGACACGTTTCAACTCCGTCGTGTTGTTGAGAGCCTTCATTTCGTCACCGATAGCACGATTGCAGTTCTTCATGTACATTATTTGGGAATCACCCGTTCGTCGCTACCTTGTTATTCGTCGCTGGTAGTTTTACCCGATCAGTTGACAACAACCCAAAATCTTATCCAACGGGGAAACGCCCCGTCGCCGCGTCCCCAGAACAGATATGTTTGCGACTTCATCGATTTTTACATATATTCGTCGTTTGTTTTCGTTTCATTCGAACTAGTAGCGCTTCTTCTGTTCACAAAGAGCATCATGTGCATCCGGAGAAGCCAAAATGGGTGCGAGGAAAGTAAGCATGCGTGCCATTCCCGACGACACCTGGGCCAGCCAGGTGAACACAGATGTTGAGAGTGGCAAATACTTTATGGATGAGGTCGAACACGAGGCAGTTGAGAAGCGGTAGGTACACGCGGAAACCGTCCTAAGGCGCAGAAACGCGAGCGTGCCAAAATGGTCGAGTTTGTTCCGCCTCGGGAGAAGGATGCTACGAGAACGCGGTAAAGTAAAAGGTTGCGTGTTAAGAGGAAACAAACCTCACTTCAGTCCATGCCCTCAGACAAACGTCTATCATTGCTACGTTTTACCATTCGCTCTGAATTTGGGTTCGTTTTGCCGAATTGAGTAAAACCGCCGGTGACGGAACAACCAGGTAGTGGCGATCGAGTGATTCTCCTATTATTTTTAACCGACTTTTTGATACTACCAAAAAAATATGCCATGTGATGTCTTCGCCGAAGAGATTTATATGGACGTCAGCTCTGTACTGTGCCCGTCGCTACTTTGTCAGACGATCCCTGTACACTATTCCAAAATCATGGTAACAACGAGGCTCGTAGACATGCTTCGAGTTACCACTGACGTTTCAACTGAAGGTGCGTCGACACAAACTGTTGACCGTAAATACACATAGCGGCATACCGAAAATGTGCAGCATGCATACAAGTGTTGCGCCTGACAATCCGAAACGTAGTAAAACCTACCGCAAAACTTTTGCTACTTCCGCTCTTGCTTTTCGAGTTACATCGTTTTTTGGACCGTTAAGGCTGTACAAGCTGCATTCTGTGCTCGAACGCTGTCGTTTTCGCGTGATGATTGTATCATGTACGAGGGCGAATTCTGGCTTAATAGACGACTAAAATGTGTCAACTACAATGCGATTGGCGGACATACACGGCCAATACCATTGTTTTGTATCACCAAGCACACCAAGCAAAAGACGTGCGAGTAGATCGATCAAGACTACCACTTCAACAGCTACTATTGAGTAGCAACAGCAATAATCAAGTAGTCAGCAATACGATTGAGCGAACTTGCGACTCGCAAGTCGTCCATATCTTCTTATTTTGCCACGTTATAGCCACTTCTTGTAGAATTTAAAAAACGCAATTGTAGCAAGCGCAATCAAGAGAACGACCGCCCACCAGATGAAGTAGCCATCGTGATGCTCAAGCTCTGGCATGTTCGTAAAATTCATGCCATAGAGTCCAGTGAGAAACTGAGCTGGCAAAAAGATAGCGGCGACCAGAGCCAGAATGTAACTCACGTCATTCTGCTGGGCAGCTCGAGCATTGTGGAAATCCTCCATGAGACTACGACAGCGATCTAAATGTCGCTCACAGTCTTCTTCAATAGTCGCAACGTGGTCCAAAACATCACGAAGATACCTCAATGTTTCTCCCTCAAACTCTTCAGCTTCTGAAAGCTGTATGATAACCTCGCTCATTGGTTTACAGAGAACTTGAAGCCCCTTGATTTGCTTCGAACAACATGCGATTCTTCTCACATCGAAGTAGCGAAGGTCCATGCTCAGCAGTCGCTCAAGCATGATAAGTTTAGACCCAAAAGTGTGCGTGATAGGTGTCAACTCATCCACACAAACGTCTACAATCGTGTAGACGAGAAAAGCAGTACCGTGTTGACGGACCTTCGAGTACGATCGATCCAATCTCCGTTTTAGCATCGCCCATAATGTACTTGAGCTCTCCTGAACACTGATCAGGACATCATCCATAATGTACAGACTAAGCTGTTGTGGTGCTGTCATGACACAGCCAATATTAAGCTTTCTCAGATGATCTTCCAATTCTTTTTTCGTCATACATTCAAACGGTGACACGTCCTTGTCTTGCACGTACAATGAAGCACGATACATGCTCTGGTACTTTTTTACCATGGACAAGTCTCGTGTGTGGATGGTCTGCACGATAAGTGACGAGTGTTCATCATACTCATCATATTTCGGACGCTCGACATCAGCATCGAGCGTGTCTTCGATAGCAAGTGGGTGCAGTCGATAGCGTACCGACAATCGTCGCATCAAGAGAGGATCGATACCTTCAACATTAATCCATCGTACAGAGGCCCAACTTGGTTTCGTCGAGTAAATAAATCTCCGGATTTGGTCGATCGGATGTACGCTACGAATCCGGTCTGGCGAATACTCAATCGATCCAAGCACAGCCTTTTTCCTTCTTCTGCTTTCATGCTTGAGGTGCGCGTACTCTAGCGGCATGTTGCGCAAATACTCTTCGTTAAACAGCTGTGCGAGTTTGATCTCCTGAATAGCGTTAACAAACTCGCAATAAGTGATTCCACCGCTCTTATCGTCGTCCATTTTTTCAATGAATGCTTGAAACTGCTGGTCGTCACTGCAAGCAATGCCCATTGCTGCTAAACCACATCGAAATCCTTCGTACGACACCATTCCGTTATCTATGACCATAGCAAGTAAGAAAGACATGAACAGGAACAAGTTTACTTTAAAACCCGATGAATAATAAAAATCGAGAAAATCCGTAAATAATAAAAATAGAGTAAAACGTGGCTGGACACCGGACCTTGCGGATTGAATGACGAAAACAATTTTTTCATTCGCGCCGATGTGAGATCGTAGAGCGGGTCCATCAACGACAAATCTTCATTTTCTTCGATCGCCCCAAGACTAGTTGACCAGTCCATTGAATCCGAGTCGCGGTTATTCGACTCAATGGAATCGATAGTCATGATCTCAAGTAGAATATTTTTCCCATGCAGTAATGTTGGCACGGGTGTCGTTCTTTTCTTACGACGTCGAGGTGAAGAAAGGTTTTCATTTGGTAATTTATTTTCGTAAACAACCGGTCGACGTGAAACCGGTTTTCCATTGCGGTACACTGGTAAACGACAATTTTCGCAATACGAAGACTGCCCCGGTATACGGTCGGATAACGCAGGACTGGTAGTGACACTGTCACTACCGGTATGACGCAACTGCCTTACATCATATTCGATACCGTCGTCAGACGCCCAGTCCTTTGTCTGGTCGTGTACCGATTCCTCCGGTGGACAACGAGATGCACGATCGTGATCTGATGGAAGCGAACGGACGACGGAGCTCGACGAAGGACGAAGCGGCGGACTGCTGTCAATTGTGACGACGGACCTGTCTTCGTCAAGTCGGTAATAGTTGGATAAGTCCATTCGACTGGTGAAGTATCTGTCGGAATCAGACGTCAGGATTAAAGTCAATGTCGAGATTTATGACGGTGGGCAGTTTTACCGGTGGGACGACAACTTTCTTTTATTGTCATATTTGTTACTTCACGGATATTGTGCCGTTTGCTACTGCTGGTGCTCCAATGAAATCTTATAGACTGCACGTCTTAATAACCTCCATACGTGCTTCCTGTTGAAGCGCAGCATGAAGTACGTGCATCGCTTCCACTGCTGTTGGTCGCTCTTTGACATCCATCGACACACACGATCGACCGAGTTTTGCTACCGCCTGTGGTCCCGTATCAGCGAAATCCACCCTCAAATCGCCCATTGCAACTCGACGGAGAATCACCAATTGCGAATTCCCTCCCCGAACAAACTTTTGTGTGGGAGTATGGCAGCGCGTGCACTGAAAGTTCCGATAGCACAACGCCAAAGGAAAACATATCGGCCGTCTCGTCGTACGGGTTCCCGAGCATCACTTCCGGTGCCATCCACAATGAAGTACCGACATTTGCTGTCATGGGGCCGACCACGCGGTCTCGAGACATGCCAAAGTCAGTCACTTTCGCATCTAATTCTTGAGTTAGCAAGATGTTCTTGGATTTGAGGTCGCGATGGATCACGGGCACGTCACGGGAGTGCATGTAGACAAGAGCACGAGCTACTTGGTAGGCGATCAATAGCTTTTGAAAGCCGAATCCAATTGGATACGTTTCGGTTTCGTAGTGGTCGAGCAATGTCCTTAAATCGCCGCCGTCCATGAATTCCATGACACAGCATAAATCTTGACGGTAGTTCCACGCCACGCCGATAAATTGGACAATGTTGGAGTGGCTCAATGCAACCACCATCTTGATCTCCTTCATGAACCTTTCCATGTCGCTCATTGTTTTGACTGCAACAGTCTCTCCTTTGTATGTCCCTCGGTACACTTCACCGAATGCCCCACGACTAACAAACGCCTCAATGACCACCTCGTTGCGAGGTATCCACGCTTTGGCGATTGTTTCGTCTTCTGCATCGATCATAGGACTCACAGCTTCGCTCTCTTCTGCCTCAATCGACTGTGGTTGTTCGAGCTCCCGTTTGTCATCCAACGTTGTGTCATCAAACATGCCGTCATTAAACGAGCTGTTCTCCGACGTGCTGTCGTATGTGTATGTCGTGTCGTGTTTTGTCATTGATACCGGAGAGTAATCACGATTCTTGAACGAGTTATTCATCGTTGGCCCATTCGTTACATACAGTGCATTGATCGATGTATGCAAGTGGTCGATTTCCTCGGCGATGAGTCGCTTTTCCTTGTTAATCGCTCTGACATGGACTAAACGAGAAACCAAGTGCTTTGTGTGGTACTTGGTAAGATAAGCTGTAAACCTCGCAGCTGTTGAATCAAAGGTGACGCGGATAAATCGGATCGAACGAGCATCGAACTCCTCGATGCATCGGATGTAGGTTTGTATCACCATCAAGCGGCTGTGCAGCTCTCCAGTTGGGATCATTTTGAGTTCTCAGCACTCTCTGTCGGTCGCAGCTTCACCTTTCAATTCAGTTCTTTGCCGAATCAAGTGTTGGCTACGGTGCGAAAATCAATAATCGACAAGTGCCGGCAAGAAGTGTACTTGGGTTTATACGACGGACTAGAATGGATGAACGTTATTGACGTGACCTTCTGTCACGAGATGTACTTGTATTTCGACTGCAGCTTTGCACGCACTTTACCGTTTCGTAGTAGCTAGATGCCAAAACGTGTTCTCAACACCGAAGAAATGCGCACAGTCGCAAATGCCGTGTCGACACTTTTTACGGGTGCGATACGTTTAGATCGCACTTCCCCCTGCTTCGTTCCCAATCGTAGCATGGAGTTTATTGTGTCTTTTTCTCTGGCGATAAGACGCAGAGCTTCTCAGAAGCCTCTTGCGACTTGCACCAAGAAGTTCTGAAGCGCTACCAAAGACTGACACAGAGGGTTCTTTTCCAGGTGGGTACGAGTCTAATTTTTCGTCTCGAAAAGTCGCATGAGAAACTGTCGGAGCCCGTCCTCATGGAGGAATCAATCAGCAAGAAAGCCTCCCGGATGAGCATTCGGATAGCTTACTCTCAACTGACCGCTGCCTTACGAGTGAAACAATAGCACTGCAGAGCCAAGGTCCCACGCAATAGTGGTCGTCGTGTGGTCATCGTAAAAGGTATACGAAGAAATGGAGTCAAGTTGATGCTCACGATCAAAGCGACACAGACCACTCTACCGCAATTCATCCCCATGCAGATAGTTGTATGTGCGATTGAAGTACCTGCTTATCTACGAGCATTTACAGGTATCGCAGGGTCACGAGTGCACCGCAAAGGCTGACAAGTTGCTGAACTTCACGTCCACGATCCCGTGTTGAAACAGTCGAAAGTTTAGTGGAGTGGTACGTTTCAGATAATTGCGGCGATTTCAAGTCAGTCTGACTGGCTATGGATGCTGATGGTCATTTCGTACAAGACATGGCACACGAGACGACCTCCGTCGGATGGCTGTTTTCAGTCCAGCGGCCGATTTGCGGAGACAGGTCGGCCCGTTTGACTCAGGAATATCGTGTGTGTCTGACTACAAGATGGAGACAACTCGATACTACGTCGCGCGAAGTCCTATCATTGAGTCAATCGACAGTCAGAGCGACATTTGTCCACATCCACCATCATCGCTCTGTCTCCGGGATGATGGCAAGCCTGTGTGCTGCATAACTGACACGCGTTCGACTTAGTAGAGCCATTGAAAATACGTATTTTGTATTTTGAAGACGACGTGCGTCACAGAGACTGTGTGAGATGATGATAGCAGCGGTCACGAGCCTGTCAAGTAAATGCTGTTTATGATTTTACACCCCTTAGCGCAGTAGATCACGAGTGGCATTCCACATCGTGCCATGAACCCACATCTTTCTATCTCTATAACGCATCAGTCAAGGTCCCACTGACTGGACAGCACTCGTAGCTCTTTTAAGTGTGCCGCGACTTGTGGGCGATTGCACGTATTTCGATTGGAGGGCGCGTCTACCCATACTTGCACAGCCTAAGTGTCTCTCTCTAGCCGCAGACCTTGGAGCGTCGATGGACTATGTACGATTGCACACCCGCTTTAATATCCGAATCGACTCCATCACGCTTGTCAGGACCACTTAGTAGTCTTTATCAAACGCAAAGACTAACTAATGGAAAGTGCTGCTGCGTACATGCATCCAATCGTACGACTGAAATCACCACTACGACTACAACCGTGATTACAACCGCAACCGCAACCGCAATTACGACGACGTTGACTACTACTACTACTACTACTACTACAACAACAACCTCTACTACTATTCCAATTACTACTACAGATACTAGCACTATCATTCCTACTGCTACTACTGCAGCTTTTACAACATGCTCTTTAATTACTACTATTGAAACAAACACTATCATTCCTACTACTACTACTGCTACTACTACGACCTCTACTGCTGTTCCAATTATTACTATTGATACTTACACCACCATTCCCACTACTACTACTACTGCTAGTACTACAGTTGCTAGTACTACTATTCCGCTCAACCAATTATAGCTCACCAAGTTGATTTGCAAAGGTACCGATATTCCGGCACACGCCACTGCATTTGTGACCATGCCTCCTCCCGTCCAAGCGTTGCTGCTCGACATGGACGGCGTGCTGGCCGAAGTGTCTCCAGTCGTACCGCCAGGCGATCATTGACACTGCGCGTCACTTCGGCGCTTCCGTCACCCACGAGGACATTGAGCGACTCAAACTCGAAGGCAATGCGAACAACGACTGGCAACTGACGCATCGGCTCATTATTGCCGCCGCCACCAGCAGTAGTACTGCCCCATCGCTTGAAGTGGTGACTGCCCAGTTCGAAGCCATGTACCAAGGAGAGGGTACCACGCCTGGTCTCTGCGAGCTCGAGACGCTGGTTACTCCTGTTGGGTTGCTGCAAGAGTTACGTTGCCGACTGCCAAAAAGGCATGGCGGTCGTCACGGGTCGTCCACGGAAAGACTGCGTCGCGTTTCTACGCACGCACGACATTGAAGATCTGTTTTCTGTTTTAATTTGCATGGAGGACTGTCTGCCGAAACCGTCAGACGAGCCCATTCGACTGGCGCTCGAAGCCCTCAATGTGCGTCCAGAAGACGCGGTGATGGTCGGCGATACCGTCGATGACGTGATCGCAGCGCGCAGAGCCGGCACAGTAGTCTATGGCGTATTGACACCACTTGATCATGCCAGGTCTGTGCTTGAGCAGGCACCAGCAAGAATCGAAACAGTGCTGATGGAATTGGGCGCGTCAAGGGTATTGAAGCCCGGACTCGCAGAGCTTCTGGACCTCATTCCAGCGGTGAAAAGCAACAAATCAAAAGCAAGTGCTGAGACGAGGCAGCAGACAGCTGGTAAGCGAGAAGCAACCATCTGTCGTGTGACAAACGAGACATCAATCAACGTCAAGTTGTCATTGGACGGCACAGGCAAGTCCAAGGTAATGTGACAGCTGTTTGATTCCCAACGTGACGATGTGCTGGGAGAAAGGGTCAAGGTCTCACGTTGATGCACCATGTGGTCGATATGTACGTTTTCTTGTCTCTTGTTGATATGTTGATATCGATTTATACAGGTGAGCTCGGGAATCGGTTTTCTCGACCACATGTTGACGGCGTTGGCCAAGCATAGCCGTTTTGATCTCGAGCTCGAGTGCAAAGGCGACACGTGGATTGACGACCATCATACAACGGAAGACTGTGCGCTCACGCTCGGTGAAGCTTTTGATGCAGCACTCGGGGACCGTGCGGGTATCGCTCGCTTTGGATCCGCTTGTGTACCGCTGGACGAAGCGCTGTCGCGCGCTATTGTGGACATTTCGAGCCGCGCACACAGCGAGATCAACTTGCAGCTGGTCCGACCGAACGTGGGCGAGCTGTCGTGTGAGATGATCACGCACTTTTTTGAGTCGTTTGCAAGCGCCGCCCGCGTGACGCTGCATGTTGACGTCCTGCGCGGTCGCAACGACCATCACCGTGCTGAAGCGTCCTTCAAGGCTCTGGCTGTTGCGCTGCGCACTGCTGTCAAGCGCGATGCCACTGCCGGCGTGCCTAGTACCAAGGGCGTGCTGGCATAAGCACTGAGCGTGGACTTGAAGTGACAGTTGAGCTGAATGAGGCATGCTGAATGAGGTTGTTGATCTACCGATCTCGAGCATTGTGTCACTTCCTTGACACATGGTGTCAAAATACGAGTTGTGTCAACTGCGCTGCATTGGCCTAGGACGTGTTGGCTGCTAATCCATTCGTTCTTCCGGTCACATGAATTCCTGGAGATCGTCTGATATCAATCTGCGCGATGTTTTGATCACGCGCTGAACGGCAAACGCAAGGCACTGAAAGGCTAGATAGAGCTGAGTCAAGAGACGAGCACAATAAAACGTCGTACTAAGGCTTTGTGGAATGGAATACGAGCGTTTTCAAGATGCTAGTCATGACTAGACTGCCAGCCACGGCATCTGTGCGAGCAGCTGACATCGCCAAAACAAAGTGGCTTCTGGATGAAGCAACAAGGTGCCATCTTTACAGATACGTCTCATGCAAGACTTGTCCGAACTTCTGTTACAACGAGAAACCATCCCTGCAATTCGCGTCGCTCTTGACGATAAGTCGTTGACACTTACCCAGCTCTTTGATGATCCTCGTATCGATAGACTACTGCGGTCCTGCCTCAGTCTCACTACATTGCCGCTCTTCATTGCATCGTCTGCTGTTGCTTTTGACGAAGTTGTTGTTGCCACCATCAGTACCATAACGCCTCATGACAACTCGATAACCATTGACGCGGCATACCACTCCAGTATCGTGACGTACGTACGTACATGAGATGGTACACATCAGGATTAGTGTCAGCGATGACGTGGTCGTCCGTTACGTCCATGTACGAGCCCAAGTTCAGCCCGACCTCCCCGTCTCAGGCAGGCGATCATCTTATCGTGAATGCAATTACCACAAGCGCTGAGCCAGTCAATCGTCCCGCACCTTGTCCTACGTGACCGTCTTCCACACAAAAAAGTCAATGAAAGTAGCAGTAGCTGTAGTCGGCAAACAAGTGCTCTCTCAATTGACAAAGTATCTCTCGTCACATTAGAAAAGAGCTCAATCAAGTCCTTCTCATGTTCTTGTGCATTATAGAGCTAGATACTACGAAGTTTACGCCAAAACGACGGCGAGCAGAGCAGCAGAGGCTACAGAAAACACAGCCGGTAGAACAGCGGAAGACGATGCATCCGAAGTCGGCGGGTCCGAGTGGCTCGAGCCATCGGCGTGGCCACTCATGTCCATTGGCTTCTTCTCTGCCTGGCCGCTTCCTTCTGCGGCGGCATCGAGGACCTCGTGGCACACGTCGTGGAGGTCCGAGACCTCCGACGAGAGGTTACGGGGTGTACCCATGTACGTAATGTTGCAGTCAAGGGAGCCCATGAGCTCGTGAATGGGCTCAAGGCACGACGACGAATTGCAGAACTGGAGCAAGTTGTTGGCGGTTAAATTGAAGACGTCAAAAGCCGACGTGATGCTGAAAGTTGTGCCCTCAGCACACGTGCTGAAGTACGTGCTGTTGTCAACAGTGGCCACGAACGACTCGCTCACGTCGGGCGGACACTCTTGCGCCGAGGTAATGGACGACGGCAATGTGACGAGAAGAGCCGTGACAACAGTGGGAGCGAACTTGCGACCAGTCATTGCGAGGATGATGACGAGAAGTGGGAACGATGTGCGGGACTTGAGACGGATGGTGGAGATTGGAAAGTGAGCGATTCATTCAGCTGCTCGTTTGCAATAAGGACGCGCTGGACAAAACGGTGTGGGCACCAAGTCGATAGTTTTTCTAGTCGTGAAGCAATTGTTGACTGAAGCTTGAGATAAAAAAACGAACGTGAGCTCTTTGTGTGCGTGTCGTTTTTCTTTTCTTACCTAGAATAGGTCGAGGAACGGGCTGGTCAAACCATCCTCCTTTGATGAGCTACCTCTCTTTTCTTATATCTTCTCAAGTACACAATGCTGCACAAATAGAGCTTTTGAGTCGTTCTCTGTGATACCATTTACCACGCAGACACAAAAAAAGGATTGTGTCTACGTGGGGTAATCGGCATGCGTCATGGTACACAATTAACGATAGAGTTTAGCGCTGCGTGAAAGCATTTGGACGGCAAGAGAAGCACTCACGAAGTTAGGATTTGCTGTTGTGGGTGTGATTTGTCGTTGCATTGAATACAAACGTAATGAACACAAGTGAGTTATTGCTGCTTGTGGGATGTGAGTCCTGGTATGAAGCTGCAGCCGTCACTGCTGTCGGCTTTGGCTTCAGTAGTGGATCCGATAGCTGAGGTGTTGGCAGCTGACAACGAGCGAGAACGCGTCAATGAATTGCGGGTATTGATACAGATAATTTCACTCTTGTCGTTTTGAGCCAGTGCACATCGGAGTACCAGGTATGATGGCATGGTCGCGATGGGACATAAACTACTGCTGTGCAGTGAATGTCTTCGGTAGACCAACAGTCCGAGTGAAGACCGAGGCGTAAACGTTGTAAACACGACGGGGCTGGCACCTGAACTCAACGTGGATTTCGTCGGCCTAGGGGATCAAGAGCAGTAAAGAAATGAATGCACACTATTTGCCTTGATATAACGTTTACTTCATTTGGTCACTGTTCTCCGTGCACCTCTGCTCATCACTTTGTCAGGCTATAATTGCTGACATTACTTCCTACAGCTTAAGTGATTGGGTCCATGCAATCGTCGATAGAGCTTTTTCTCGCTCTGACAAAGAAGCAGAGTAGTCGCTCCAAGCGCTTGCTCCCAGCATTCTCATGTCGAAAAGATACTGATACGCAAAGTCGAGCGCCGTCATCGCGTTGTCCATTCACAAGGTGCTTTCAAGTCGAAACTGTGGGAGAAGGTGCTGAATAAGCTAAGAATCTGCATGAGAACAATCTAGTGACCGAGCGCTCGCACGATCGCAACGCTAAACGTCATCACTAATTGTGTATGCTGATGCATGCCGATTACCCCCCACGCAGACACAAAGCATTTTTTGTGTCTGGATGATGATTAGATCGTAGAGCATGACTAAAAAGCACAATTGTGTACTGGAGGATTCAAGAGAGGAGAGATAGCTTATTAAAGGAGGATGTTTAGATCTGCCCTGGATAGAGGCGAGCGTTATTCAATGTCCGTTGGCAGTGGTTCTTTGTAACAGCAGTAGTGAAAGAGTGGACAAGAACGGATTAGTGTCTCAGATATAGAGCGTTGTCATCCAGGACGACAACTGCTACGCACATAGCTTAGACTGAGATGCAAAATCTCAGTGGAAACATGTGGCCGACAGCTGTTCTTGACACTGCGTCGCTGCTTTCTTGTCGTCTAGTTCACTGTTGCAACGCACAGCCTCGCACAAGCAGAGCCGATGTATGCGAAGAAACGACTACAATCTTCTGTAGATGTGATCATATTGACGAACCGCTACCACAGCATCTATTCATCTAGTGGGGAGGTGACGGGTCGAGAAGGACGACGAGTGCCCGTCAGTGCCCGGCTTCTTAGCTCGTAGCGAAACTCAGTTATGAAATTAACAACCCCTGAGTATGACTTGTCATTGCATGAACCGAGCATCCAGGGACGTGTTGTACCCGTTAACAATCATCACGACCTTTATTATCATCCTTGCCAGCAAGCAAAGCAAGCGAGCACTCTTTCACAGCAAACGTCTTTTACCCAGCGTCTATCTCGTCCGTACAGAGAAGATGAGCTTCGTCAGACATTCCCCCCTAATTGCTGCCGTTACGCAACGGACGCACTGGATTAAAAGGGGAACGTGGGAGCTGTACATGCATGTTCACAGCTGGCGATCTGTCATGCTTGAAATGAAATACCATCATTGCTGTATGTGGAATACGCCGAGAACACTGTGGCTGCCTGCGCAGCTTTGCTGCTCGGTCTTGCTGTCACGTGCACCAGAGATCGGTGGGTCTTACAGCAAGATTGCAAGTAAATTTATTGCAGCTATCCACTATACGAGCTTAGACTACTCAAACACAACGACATCTACGCGTTATTCCCTTACTATTGTCTGGATGCCTTCGTCCAAAAGCGATAAAAAGCCAATGACAGCACTGTCGACTCATTGCGATACATCAGCTGATGTTTGGTGCTTGCCTTCATACAAAATCCCCGTGAGTGACTACGACATCCACACACGGCGATCCTTAGCCTTTCGATGCACCAATGCCGGTGAATCTCACGATGGCTTACAATATGTTGCGCTCGCAAAGGTGCACCCAGCTCACGAGTGTATTTGTAACGGGTTTACATAAAATTGTTGTGATGACCAGGTACATTGGTGTGGTACACACAAACGCTGGTCAGTATCACTGATAAGGCGTACTTTTGTATCACAAACGCTACGCAATAATGTCGTACCCTATCGGTTATGGTTAGAAGATATCTATCGTAATAGGGCATTCAAAGAGGCGACGTAATTCCGGTGTGGTACACTAGAGGAACTAGGACAATTCGATCAAGCAGCATAGTTTTAACGTTAAAGACGTAAGTAAGGTACATGATCGCTACAAATCAGTAGATGTGTTCAATTCCCCTTTTGATCAGTTTCCGACACGTGTCTTTCTAAGACGTCTCTTGTAACGGGGCACCCTGAAGCTTGTACTGGTGACAGTACAAGCTACTTATTCTGATGACAGAATAAGGCGGTGCCTCGTAACTTCACGTACACTCGTACGTGCAGAGGAAGACGGTAAGAAGAAGCGAGTACTCGGTTAGAGTAAAAAGTAGAACTGTATTTATAATAGTTAATGTCTGCAATAAATCACTATTTATCTTCATCTAACTATGTCTAAATACAAATGTGTAAATCAGTTATCTGCTCACCACTCATTGCGTGCGTCTGTCGTGGCGCGTCTTCGTTGGTTGATATAATGGCCTATATCAACCAATTAGGAACTACTTGGAAGTGCTACAGAATATTGTCCTTATGACAATATTCTGAGAATATAACTCTTATAGTTATATTCTATTAACAATTTCTTATAAATTGTTATGTAACGATTCACCCCGTTACATCACCCCCCTTAACCATCAGTCACTTTAGTGACTGATTGACTAAATGGATATTCGTCCCAAATCATTTGGGACGGGGTTTGCACTTGTTGGTCCGCGTCCACTTTCCAACATCTCATCGCATGGTAAACAAGCCCATGCGATGCGCGAGCAAGGCCGCCGAGAGCGCGTCTGCACGTCTCTGTGCGGACGCCGAAGCAGAAACTACAGCAACTGATGTCCCATCGGTTGCTGAATCGACTCAGCCTGTATCACCTGGTGATGCAGGCGCTGGTCATGAAGACACTCGTGTCTTCACAGAGTACGAGCTCGGTGTCTCGTACTCTCCTGATACGGATGACGGATCCGTATCGACGGCAATTGAATCCAAGCCGCCTGCCAAGCGTGGCATGGACGATGCTTTGCGTCGCAGCATCTTTGGTTCATCTGACTCATCAGATGAACCATCGCCGAAGCGAAGGCGCTCGAGGTCGCGAGACTCGGGCGCTAATAGTGGTGTCGTTTCTCCAATGGACACCACTTCACAGCGAGGTGCCAGTACTTCTGTCGGCACGTCGCAGGAAGAGCGGGACCGCAATGTGTTGCGTCTCGCTCCAGAAAAGAAGGCATGGATGCCTCCTAAATCTGTCATGGATCACTTGTCGGCGACGACGAGTGATCGTTATCGAACACGATTGTTCGATTCGTCGAGGATTCATCACCTTGACCCCAGCGCGAAGGACTATCGCGCTGAACATGAGTTCTTCATCGATGCTTTCTTCAGACATCGATGGTACAGTGGGAATCACAAACGTGATGGTCCCTCACTACTTCAGGCGTGGAACGCCTACATCCATAATCTCGAGGATGTAGGTCGTGACGCTTGGAACGACAAACTTATCAAAGCTCGTGATAAGTTTGAAAAGCGAACCCCGACAGGTGCACGCTATAAGCTGCATCGTCTGTCAAGGGAGAAAGGATTACCCTGCCTCTCTTGGGGAGACTCGTGCCCATGTTGTGTGAACAACTCTGCACGAGCACCTAAGGAGGCTTACCTCCTTACCAGCCCGTGGTGGCGCGTACGTGTCTCTACTGAGATGTACGAAGGGATTGACAACCTGAAATCCCTTTACGACCGTGCCGGGAAGACTTTCTCCGGCGGTCCTTCTGCGGCACAGGATGTGTCGCGTCGTACTGCTCGACCAGACCCAGTACGTCAACCATCAATTGGGAGCGGGGCTCCCAAGAATCCCAGGACGGGGGATAGCCGCGCCACCGGACGAGGTAACTCGTCCGACGTCCGTTCACGTCGCGGTGGTTCAACAGCTGCTCAACTAGATAGCGCTGGCCACCGCGAGAGTCCTCTAATGGAGGTGGAGGAGGAGGAAAGACGCTCTCCACACGATCATGTGGATCGGTGTGTTCCCGAGAGCTTCTTTGATCGCGTAACGCAAGGGTTACGCGACGATCTCGAGCATGAGCGGAATAGGCGTCTCCAGATGGTGGACACTGCCTCGAAGCATCGAGATGAGTTTGCCTTTGCTCAGCTTGATAACGAGAGATCTCTGACATCTCTTCGTGACGAGCTAAGGGTAGCTCGTGGGATTGTTGATCGGTCTCGGGCTGAGA